TTCTTCCCTTTCTTTTTTGTGGCACTGGGTATTGAACTCAGGACCCTGAGATTGCCAGGCAAGTGCTTATTCTACTGAGCAATCTCCCCAGGCAAGCCTACAATTTTATGCTTGCTACAAAACCACTCTTCCTTCTCCACCCAGTGAGCGAGCTCCTCTGTCCCTAGGATCATACAATCCATTTCCTTGGGAAAAGTGACCTACATTCTAAAAGCCAAGCTAGGGGCCAGGGAGATAGCTCAGTAGAATAAGTGCTTGCCTGGCAAGCACAAGACCCTGAGTTCAATCCCCAGTACTGCAAAGAATAAATAAATAAAATAAAAGCCAAGCTCATTTGTTAAAGAAAAGGTCAACCAAAGAAAGAAGCCAAATCTAGCATGCTTGGGAAAATTCCTCTACTAAATGTGTCATTTTTACATCTCTATCTTCCTCCACAGGAGATACTGGAAAAGATCAACACGTCAATCTATCTGTGTTTCCTTCATGCCTGGGCATTCTTTCAGGGGACTCAAAGCCAGCTGCACTTGCATTTGTCAGACATAGTGGAAAGCTTCGTCCCTACCACTCAGAGGAGGCCTCCTTTTCCTCACACCAGTTCCTGAGCATCTCAGGTAAACTGGAAATGTCATGAACAGAGGAAGCTTCCCAGTTTAACCACATGGGAAACAACTGGTTATCTATGTCAAGACCATTACGAGGCTTTTCAAACCTTCAGACAACTTACTGCGATCCCCCAGAAAGGCTGCCACTGTGCCCTTAAGCACTGCCTCCCTGCTCAGGGTTAATGCTGCATAACAAGCACATCCTCATCTAATGGTTTGGCCTCTGGGTGGAAAAGAAAGGCTTGCTTATAGGAACACGACTTTTGGGTAACCCCTGGGAACCTACAATTCTAGGAATCTGGCAGCATCTTTTCCTTCACTTAACCTTTCTCTTAGATCCTTACAGAAAAGCCAGAGGCAGGCAGCAAGAATATGAGCTAGGCTGACTTAGATGTCTGAGCACAAGCATGGTGAGGCCCTGGAGCAAAAGCAGCCCTGCACCGTCTGGGAGGCCCTTTCTTGCTAAAGTCCTTGTAAGCCTAGGCTAGGGTATACACGCTCGGGAGTCCTGCAGGGCCTCTCTGCAGCATGAGAGGAAATCTCTCCAGACTCTTGCTAGCATCTCCCTGAGAACTAGAACCACTTCTTGGAACTAGGAGCATCTTCTCTCCACAGGCTGTGACCTCTCCCAGGACACTCCTGTATGCCTAGAATGTCTGACCAGGAGACGCTTTTCCTCATGTAACAAATGCATAGATATGAGCCCCTTCCACAGAGCAACCTAATCTGGGCCCAGGGCAATTTGCTTTTCTAAACCTCCCATTTCTCAACTTCCCTCCTCACTAATCATCCTTTTTTTGTTGCTATAACAAAACATCTGAGGCTGGAAACTTCATAAAGAAGGTCTAAACACCATGACATCAACACCCAGGTGAGTCCCCTGGCTGCACACAATACTGTAAAGAAGTGGAAAGGAGGTGTCCTGGTTCAGAAGGGGCCATGCACGTGGGTGGGCTTCACTTTATAACAACTTACTCTCATGAGAACTCACTCATTCCAGGAGTCCAGCATTAATCCAGGACCAAACCGTATGCCCTACTTACCACCCATCATACCCCACCTCTCGAAGGTTCCATGGCCCCCAGAACGTCACAGTGGGGACTAAATACAAAGCTCTCAAGCCTTCAGGACACAATCAAACCACATGCAAATGAGAGAATTCCCCTGTCAAGTTCTGGGCCCTAAGCTTGGACTTTCAGGCAGTATTGAAGTTGCCTCCCCTCTCCCCCGAAAACAAAAATGAAGTTGCCTCCCA